TCTCGCTGATGATGATGAATACCATCCCCCCCCTCTTTATCTGATGAGCACCACGCCCCCCCCTCTCGCTGATGATGATGACTACCACCGCCCCCACCTCTCATGTAAATCACACTGATCACCTAACCCAACTCAACACTTCTGCTGTGTGCTACAACCGAGCCGCCAATGGTAACAAGGCACGAGCCTACTGCAGGTGCTTTTTTCACAAAAAAGATATACCGTACCCTGTCGACGTCTCAACTCCCGGCCGCTTCCACTCCCACCTCCCCCACCCTTGCCCCATCAACGCCTGATTTCGTCCGTATTGATGAACGCTTCAACAACCAGCAACACTATCTGAACTCAACGGCGCTGAAGAAGTAAAACGAAGAGAAATGGGGCGACGTGAGCCCCGAGGAAGTGCGGGATCGTGTACTGGAGTACTTCCAAGCGTCCTCCTCGCTCTCGTTCGCCGCCAACGGCCAAGAGTTCACCGATTTGGACCTGGACGAACTGCACACACGGGCGGGAGACTATGTGAGCGTGGCGATGACAACAGCCTTCGTGTGTTTTTCTGAAAACCTTACATCGTTGTTGGTTTAGGGTTGTGTGTACCAGGCTGCTACCTTGCACTCTGCGTGCTTGAAACCAACCCAACGTTTTTTCCCCCAACCGCACCCAACGATTTGTTCACCCTACCGTTATCGTTCGGTCTCACAAGCTTGCTGAGTGTTCGCTCTGCGTTTCGCTTTTGTTCCCTCGATGACAAAAGGTCGAAAATGCGAAGCTTACCTTGGGGCTGGCGGGCGTAAGGACGAGCAACCACATGTGGCTTCACTTCGCCGACAGCATCAAACCACACGGTANACTCTGCGTGCTTGAAACCAACCAAACGTTTTTTCCCCCAACCGCACCCAACGATTTGTTCACCCTTCCGTTATCGTTCGGTCTCACAAGCTTGCTGAGTGTTCGCTCCGCGTTTCGCTTTTGTTCCCTCGATGACGAAAGGTCGAAAATGCGAAGCTTACCTTGGGGCGGGCGGGCGTAAGGACGAGCAACCACATGTGGCTTCACTTCGCCGACAGCATCAAACCACACGGTAAGGAGATTCAACGATATATATTGGGATGTTACCATTGAAAGCCAGCAGTGTTTCAGCCTGTCCTAAGTAATTGTGTGTGTAT